TTAAGCTATTCCTAAGTACTGAAATGCCAAACCATTACAGATAAACTGTAGAAAGACTTCAGAATTCAATGTGACTGGACAGAAATGGGACAGATGAACTTTGAAAGGAAGTGAAGTCATGCCTTTTAGAGAAAAACACTTCATCATACTTATAAAACTAAAGGTTCTGAGCTGTTAGCTAACCTCAAAATATAAGTGATTCAAGGTATTGGCCCCATATACTAATGCTAACAACTAACAAATATTATCAATAAGAATATTAAGAGTAATAATATATTATTTGAGCACTATGTGTCAGGTGCTGAGCTATGTATCTTATGTGTACTACTTTATTTAAAACTCTTAATAACCTCTTGCTCTTCTTGTTTTATGAAATAAGGGAAACGTCAAGGTCAAACTGACGTCAGAGATTCAAGCCCAAGACAGTCTGATGTCAAAGCTCAGACATTTACCTACTATGTTACACTGCCCTGAACTGAACACTTCTACTCTGGAACAAATCTGCATCTTTTCTGTTCCTGAAATAGTGTCAGAATCGAGGGAGACGTGCCAGAATAAGAATAGATCTAGGGCAGGGCTACTAAAATTGTCAAGGCTATGGTATATGAAGGTAGGCTTTTAAAAAAATAATTATGGGTTCAAGATGCAAACTATAGAAAACATGAGTGGTTCCCAAAATCCTGGATGTCCAGAACTATAGACTAGCATGTCTGTCTTAAAGAAGGAGTGCATATGAGAGAGAATATAATTCTTTACCAAATTTCAGAGGTTTGTTATTTTTAAGCTGAAGATAGAATATCAAGACTATAAAGACCCTTGCCTCATGTTTTCTGCTTCTGCCTCTACTTTCCTGTGTTTGTGAGGTACTCTTCACGGGCAGCCACAATATATCTGAGACCTTAGCCCCATCATCTGGTAACAAATTACCTTGGCATCCTCTCAAAACAGTATCCATATAATCAGCCTTTCTTAGGTACCTCCTTTTTTCATTTAGACCCTGGATTTGCTACCTCTGGGGATTATCCTTTGGGTATTTTGTTACTTCCACAAGCCATATATCTCTCCTTGACTTCTCTCAGTTCATACAATGGGGATTTGATGTGCTTCTTTATTTCTAATTTAGTAGGTGCCTTTCTCATTCCCCTTTTTGTTCTCACTAAAGCCCTGTTGAGGGACAATCCTGTTTCCCAAAATGAAATCCTTGTCTCATGCTTAACACCAGTGTCTGAGTTCTGCTGTTTATGAACAAGTGCCCCTTGCCTGCCTCCTGGAGATGACCAAACCCCCGATGCTATGCTTTGTCTCCCTGATAGTAAATCATGTCTCACTGTCATCCGAAACAGTCAGTTCTAGGTGATGCTGCTTAGGTTTTTTTCTAAGCTTGCATGCTGTGAAGCTATTACTAAGTAGGAGAAAATGAAACTAGGTGGACATGCATTTGGCTAGAGAAAACTTATCAGAACAGAAGATTCTGTACCCTAGAGGAATGTTCCATTTTAGGGTTTAATCGGACTTGATTATAATCTGGGTTAGCTTTAAAGAGAACTGGTCCATTGGGAAGTCCATTGAGGAAGTGATAGTTTGGGGTCTCACATTCATGTCTGAGCCACAGAACAATGGAGTTTGCCTTAACAGATTTTGGAAATATCAGAAGTAGATTTAGCCTCAGGATAAAAGGATTAAGCCAGGGGTCCATATACACAGACAACCGAGGTATGATTCAGAGTGAGTTATATGGTCCCAATAAGCTGTGATATAAACCAGGAATCAGTGATCAAAAAGAATAAAGCAAGCACAAGGAAGTATGGGGCAACAGGTTAGAGTGTACAATTTCTGAAAGATTACCTATATACCCCTGATGATTTCTACAATCTTGTTTGGTTTTATAAACAGGCAGGGAATAGTGTATATGTGATTTAAAGGACTAGTGGGGAAAACAGGGAGTAACTATAAAAATACACAAGACCTGGTATTTGCCTTGTGGGAAGAAGCTAGGTTAGAAAGAAAGGACAGATTTACCACTGATCTTTTGACTTTGCCCTACTCAGCTGTATCTCCTGAGTTACTAGTTTTTCTTCTCTCTGTCCCACTATCTTGGGTGTATCTTGCTCAAGCCCTGACTCCCTCCATGACATTGCCTCTCTCATGTTACCTAGGTTGGAATGTCACGCTCATACTGGAAGATGGAGATAGAAATGAAAAAGAAACCATAGTAAATAAAACTATAACATGTTATTCAGGCAATTAGGGTTGTCAGAGGAAAGTCCCTAAATTTTCATGACCCTGTAATCACAAATGATTAAGTGTTCATTGCTGCTCCTGGTAGACAGAAGAATACTCTTAAGTGGGGCCTGGCAATAATGCAATGTGCGATTCCTTTGGGATCTATAGCACATCCATATTCACAATGCAAAATCCAAGAAGCTAGTACTCCATAAAGTTATTTACACTGCTCCTATAGGAAACTTCTCTAATTGGGCTACAGAGTGTCCTGGGTCTGATTTCACTGTAGCCTTTGGACCGGTCTTCTAGAACTCCTTTCCTCTCTGATAAACCATCTCCCTGCCAGTCCTTAAGCCTCAGCTCAGGCTCACCACCTGGAGGCCTTTAGTAGCTAATGCTAGGTGTGGCTGAATACATCATGCTGGGTTGGTCAGGGCAGATAAAAAGAATGTTGAATTTCAAGCAGAAAAAAAAAAAAAAAACAACCTTGAGTGGTTGAACTGGCCATTTGTTTCCATAACTTATCCATCCAGTATTTTCATCGGAACTAAAAAAAAAAAGTTAAATCCAGTGCAATTTTTATTCTCACTGTCATGTTAGCCAATTAATGGCTGCATGCAAAATTTGCCACCTAGAGCCCTGGGACTTTATTTATATAATACTCATAGTGTCAACAGAAGTAGTGGTGCATGTGTTGACCAATACACCCTGTGCACTATGTGTGTTTCTTAAAGGAAGGGATTCTGTTTCATATATTTTTGAATGTCTAGTATCCAGAATTAGGCCTGGCCCAGAGTAGATACACCTGGCTGTTTCCTCAACTGAAATAAATTCTACAATGTCCAGGTTCTCTAACTTCTCTCCAAGCTCCAAATAGTTCATGGGTATATGGTATTTCCCTAGGTAGAGATGGGCACTACAAGGAAAGTAAAGGCCCTGAGTTCCTTAAGCTTATGTCCTAATGTTGAAAGTTAAGGAAAACATTCTCTATTAGGGATTGTCACTTAGTCTGGATTCTGTAGTAAACGAGATACACTGAGATTCTGGGATAATAAGATATTTCAATCTAGAGTCCTGCAAACACTCAAAGAGCCTAGGATTCCATAAATAAGAGTGTCCCCCCCCCAAAAAAGGACAGTGCCAATACGCAGGTGAAGTGCTATTTGCAGAACATGAGCAGCTAAAATCTGGAAGTGCCTCATAGACAATACATATCGTGAGCTGCCATTGGAGAGTTGCAGTTTACTGTCCCTTGAAGCTGCTGTGCTATACTACGCAGGAATTATTTACTTTTAAAAGACAGATCTTCAGAAACTTAAGACAATTTCTACCCCCCATCCTCCCTACATAAATGACTAGTGAACGTCATTCTCTTCAGAAATGCTACACACTGAGTTTTACTCATAAAATGATACTTAATTTCATCCATGAAAGTGGTATTTCATAAAGAAGGGGTCCTCAACACTATGTGAGGCATCCATCGGGACCCTCTCAACATTCTTGGTTCCTCCTATCTTGGAAACCCAGAGGGTAAGCACTAGGTCACACCCTATACAGATAATATACATAATTCACTTAGTTGAGTTAAAGGACCTTGGTGGAAACAATGGGGACTATTCATTTTCTAGTGCTTGGAGTTCCCTCCCCACAGCAGAAGTAGCAGGGAGAGAGGGAAATGCAGTATGTTATGCTAATCTGTTATGGGAGCAGATAAATGAATACTATGCTTCAGATTCTCCATAGCAATTACTTTTGTTACACATGTATAAATGCACGTTTTAGCTATTTTAATCACTTCCTTATCCATATGCTGTTTGAATAGTGAAGAATATATTCAAGAAAGTGAATTGCATGCAGGAAGCACTAATTATTGTGGTTATAAAAACAAATCACACACCACAACTATATTCCCAGTTTTTCCCTATCAAAATTTGGTTAAGTATTTCTACTCTCGCTCCAATGTAAATTAAAGATGCCTCGAATTTTCTAATCCTTTCGTAACTATGAATTTCTTAATTCCAGTATCAGAGCTAGCTAGCTCTGCCCCAATGAGAGTCTGTCTTTCACAAAAGAGAAAAGATTTTCAAAGCAGCTAACTTTAGTTTGAGACGTTGCATATTAAATAAACTAAGCTCTGAACTCCCAGTGTTTCTCTCCTAGAGAGGAGAGACACCTCATTGCCACGATGACCACATTTCCATTTCAAAGGACGGAAATGGGGGAAGAAACGAAGCCACTTGCAACTGCTGTGGCCTGTTCTGCCCTCTAGTCAAGCAGAACGGGTCCCGGAAGACCTTGGGCGACGGGGAGGAGATAGTGTGCTGTAATTACCCTGGTCTAGGGTGGTAGCCGGCCCTTCGGCGTGCAAGCGCAAACGGCGGCATCAGGCATAATAACGGTGGTCTGCCGCCGCGGAGCTCCCAGAGAGTCCGGGGAGGGCCTCGGCGGGGAAAGCGGGGGGCCGGATGCAGCCGGCCTCGCGGAGCCTCTCGGCGCTGTCCATGCTGATGAGCTCCTCGGCTGACACAAGCAGGCAGAGCGAAGGCGGAGCAGGGGAGGCAGAGGAGGCGCGGAGGCAGGCGGCTGAGCCGCGCACCCGGCTTTGACGTCGCCCAGCTGCGGCTAGCAGCTCGCGCTCTCGGCACGTAGCGCACAACGTGACCACACACAGCCTCCCTCTCTGGCAGCCCGGCAGCCCGTCCGCCAGCTCCCGGCTTCGCCCTCCTCCTCCACCTCCGCCTCTCGCCTCCGCGGCGCGCAGCCCCGCGCACCCCCAGGGATTCCGGCCGGCGTCGAGCCCTGGGCGCTCCGCCGCCCGGCGCGGCACCTCTGCCGCAGCTGGGTCCCGACCGGCGGCCACGCAGCCGGGTGTCCTCCTCAGGCGGCCGCTCCCGCGTTCGCCTCCGGATGCCAGCACTACGTTAGCCCGGGCGGGGAACCCCTTCAGCGGCTCCCTCCTCTAAACTCCCGCCTGTCCCGACCGCCCCCACCCCTCCACCTGGCGGGGGCGGCGCGGAAGCGAAGAGGACGCGCGCGGTGCCGGTGGGCACGCGTAGACGTGTGTGCGGATCCGGTCTCTGCTTGGCATTCTCCCTTTTTCGCAAGTGGCGGTGCCTGGACTCTGCTTTCGGCTCCCGGAATTGGTGCGGCCGCCCGGAGCCCCCTCTTCGCTGGCAGGGCGCTAAAGGCTATTTTGGAGAACGGTGGTGGTGGTGGTGGCGGCGGCGGCGGCGGCGGCTGAGGCTGGTGCCCGAGAGAGCTCCAGACGCACACTCTGCTCCTCGTCGGTCCGTCTCCTCCTTCTCCCCCCTCCTCCCATCCCTTCCTCCCCACCCCCGTCCCCTTAGCCCCACTCCTCCTCCTCCTCCTCCTCTTCCTCCTCTCCCCGCTCGGCGATGCGAGCCTGTGTCGTTCAACAGGATTGGCGTTGCAATGGCAACTGATGGAATGGGGGAAGGCAAGACAGCAGGGCTGGGGGCTCCGGACTGCGGGCGCGCGGGCCGCTGCCGCCGCTTGACACTGCTCGGGGGACCTTCGCGAGTTACTTTGTAAAGGCGAACCCAGGCGAGGAAGCCCCCGCTCGGTGCCCCGAGTCAGAGGCCACTTCCTGCTCCGTGGCTGCCCGCGTCAGGCTCGCACCGCTCGGCACCCCCGCCGCTGGCCCGCGCCCGCTGCCAGCCCAGCGCGCCGCCGCCGCCGCTGCGGAGACTCGAGCCCGCTACCCTGAAGAACACTTCGCCTCACGGCCCCCTTCCCATCACGCCCCCTGCTCCTCCCCGGCATCTGCGATTTTCCCAGGCGCCCGGAGTGAGTGCGGCGTGCGTGTGAGTGTGTGTCAGGGTATTGTGTTGTGGGTGTGTGTGTGTGTGTGTGTGTATGAGTGTGGGGTGTGCGGGGCTCCTGCGCTCCGCTCACGGCCGCCGCCGGGGAAGGACAGACGGACGGCGCTTTCTTCTTCGGCGAGCGGCTCCCGGGTGCCTCGGCTCGGCCCGGGCGCGAGTGGAGCGCGCTCGGCTAGCCGCCGGCCTCCGGAAGGTCCCGCTGCGTCCCCCCTGGGCTGGATATGTTCATGTTCACGTGAAGATGGATTTAGTGTACGGTCTCGTGTGGCTGCTGACAGTCCTCCTGGAGGGGATCTCTGGCCAAGGAGTATACGGTGAGTGGAATCGCGACGCTATCGTGACCTTGTGGTTCTTAGTTAAGATAGGCTGGCGAGCGAAAATGCACGACTCGCACCGTTCCGGGGCCCCTCCCGGCGTGGTATTTGATTTACACTTCATCACGTTATTGGGAGCGGTAAGGAGGCAGCGAGCGCGCTGCGGATTGGGCTGCGAGCCGCTCCCCCAGCGCCTCGGCTGGGGCTGGGAGTTGGGTCGAGCCGGCAGCATTGCACTCTTGCGAACGAGTGGCTTTGCACTTGATTTATCCCCCCTGGGGACCGGAGCTCTAGCCGTCTTTGATTTAATAATGATTTGGTTCCTTGCATTGCCGCGGTGTCGGTGCCGCGGTTTCCCCTGAAGGGAAGCTTCGAATGTGACCCCAGTGAGCTTCCCATCCGTCTCCGTCTCCCGCCTCCTCCTCCTCTCTACCTTTTCGTTTTTTGTTTTGTTTTTTTTTTTTTTTTTGGTGAATGCCTCTGTGACTTGATTTTCCGGCTCAGGAAGTGGGGTGACAGTTGAGTTGCGTCCTGCACCAGCGTTGCCATGAATACTGACTTGGGGAGGGGAAAATAGCAGGAAAGATTCTCGGTGCCAGACACAATTAAGGGACATGTTTATGTGAATGGATGAGCAAATGCATGAATGAACGGATGGCCAAGTCCGCGCGTCTCGGCTCCGGGGCAGGACACCAGCTCGCTGCAACAGGAACACAACCTCAGTTCTCTGGAAAACCCAGGTCTGGGCGGGTTAGGACCGAGAGAAGGGCGAGCTTGTTAATTTGGAGATTTTTAAGTCCTGAAGAGCAGACCCAGGTTCCTTTGCCTGTCAGCAGTTGGCACCCTTGGCTTTCGGGACTGAAAGATACACTCACACACACACCCAGGCCCTATGTGAAATGTGCGTCTTTTCCTGGGACAAGCAGGCAGTGCCACAAAGGGAACATAACTTTTGTGATCTCAAAGGTATGGTAGGGGAGGTTAGGAGAACAGCTCTTGAGAGTACAGCAGGCCAAGACTCTCCCACAACTCCCCTAGGGTCCATGTGTACTGGAAATCAACCTGCTGCCCTTGGTATCTATCGCTGGGGGGTTTGGACCCCAGCACTGCAGTGCTAGGTCAATGGCTGTCCCCGGGGCAAAGGGCATGAGTGTTTGTGGAAATGTCAGAGCTCTCCCTGCAGACCCTAGAACTTACTGCAGAGAGGGTGTGGGTGCAGGGGGACCTTGAATACTCAAACTCTCTGGGAATGTGGAGTGTGCCCTGGGCAGCTGCTTGGAAGAGGATGTGGGAGATCTAAAGGGAGCCTTTTCTGTCTCCACTGTGTTCTTCCTGGGCTGAGCAGTGGGTGGGGGTGGTCCGGAGGGGGTCTGGAGTGGGGAGCTCCATCTGCCACTCCCCTTTCCTGTCTTCCTAGTTCCCTTTTTGGCATGGGCCAGGAAAATTTCACTTTCTCCCACTTATACACATTTTAATTTCCTTTCCCTATCCACCCCCTCTTTCCCAAATGAAAGAGAACTTGCTTGATGGTGGTCGTGGTGGTGGTGGTGTGTGTGTATAAGAGAGAGGTTGAGACTCCAGGCAGATCTTTTTGCTTGGCTGACAGCAGGAGGTGGGGCATTGAGGAAGGCAGGAATTCATTTACTGCTCTTTTGACTTCTGCTGGACTCGGATGTCCCTGAGCATCTGAGAGTGGCTAAGATTCTAGGGATGGAGGAATGCTGGAGATTGAGCCTTTTCAAGGAGCTGTTCCTTAGCGTGGGGGAGTCTGGATTCCTTTAGCTGGATCATCCCAGCTAAAAGGATTGGAAAAACCACGAACTGTGTGTATATTTGTGGGTGTGTGTGTGTTTGTGTGTGTGTGTGTAGGAGATAATGAGAAGTTAACAAGATTGGGGGGACAGAACATGCTAGAAATGTCTGGATTAGAAAGGCATGGTACCAGTTTCCTGTCACTTTTTGTCATTCAGATTATTGTCCTGGCAAGTTTCATGTTGGGCAGGGGAAAAGGGTAAGATCTAGGAGTGGAGATAAGTAGGAAACATTTGCATTGAGATAATGTCCATGTTGCTTGACAACAAAGGGGGAGGCAGTTCTGCTACTGAACTGATTGATCATTGTGAGGAAAGTGGTGTTTTTTTTTTTTTTTCTGTTTTCTTTTAATATTGATGTGGGCATTAGGCATTGGAATAGAATGGGTTTTGTGTGAAAATTAATCAGCATCCCTGGTCTTTATAAATGCCACAGCTATTAGGTGGGTGAACAAATATATTTATGTGTTACTTTTTATATATGTCTTAGCACAAGTTAGGTTCTCATAGTGGGAACCTCTAACCTTCAACATCAGCGTCACCTGGAAACTTGTTAGAAATGCAAATTTTGAACCCTCCCCCCCCCCACCAGACTTTCTAAATAAGAAATTCTCAGTGTGGGACCCAGCAATGACTGTGATGCTTGCTGAAGTCTGAGAACCACCAATATGGACTTCACATTCCATTGCTTTGACTGTGTAAATTATGACCTTTCTTGATCTAAAGTAGTTTGAATTTTATTTGTGAAAGTGTTTATAGTGAAGAGAACAGTTTATTTTTATTTGGGTATAAAATATTGATCAATTGTGAAAAGGACATAGAAGAGTTAGTGTAAGGTTATAGATGTGTTTTGAACATCTTACATGAAGAGCCTTGAAGATGAATAAATGAAAAAGCAGGGCAATTATAAACAGAGACTTTAAAGACCTACATAGGAACTTTGCTACCATAAAAATCTGTTATCACTTTATCCCTTTGTCTGTATTTGCTAATGTAAAACCATTCATGTTACACACAAAGTATTATTTCTTAATATTGTTCTCTAGTAGCCAGGTTAAAGAAGAAGTAAAAATTATATGTAATTCAAGCAAAATTATTTCATTGTAGCCTCAAATTAACTTCATGATTTAGTAATTCAGTTTCTTTCTTTCTTTCTTTCTTTTTTTTTTGTAACTGAGAGTATTTGTTTTAAGGCACAGATGATATTGTTTTGAGTTAATGTAATCTTCTTTCTCTTGTGCTCAATCAGCTTGGCACCATGTGCAGTACTTATGTGTAAAAGTTTATGCTATAGACCTTCGAATTTATTGTCATTTATCTAGGGACATTGCTTAGCAAACTAACTGCACAATGGATGAGATTTGCATGTGTGACATTTGGGTAATGGAGATTATCCTCCAATTTATATGTCTGTCTACCCTTCCCTCCTCCGATAATTCTGATGTCATTTAAAAAAGACACTTAAAAACTGACATTTTTCCTGTTTATTTCTTAAATACTCCATATCAGAAATGACATTACAGTGATATAAGTTGTTTGAAAACACTTCTGAAAGGAAGATTGCAGAAAAAGAATTCTTTATAATAGAGCAGCATCAGGAAATTTGATGCGGACTTCCTAAAACAACTGTTAATTATTTTGATGGATAATAGTCATTTGGAGATATCTGTATTTGTGTAGTTTTTGAAGTCCATTTTTCTTGAGTTATAGATTTTACTTTCTTGAATTTTAGAAAGTTATTTGCATTCAGAATTTTTCTTGAGAATACTCTTGGGATTTTAGTGTTTTGTTTTAATTTTAATTTTACTTACACTGAAAACCAAAGTCATTAAATGAACAATGAAATGGTATCCATTTTTGGCATTATTTTGTTGGACTTGCCTTGTATTAGGTTTAGGATAACTGATTAAACATAGCATCAAGGGTCATAATAAACCTCAGCTATGTGTATACTTGACTGAAGTACCTAGAGCCAAGTGATCCAAAGCATTTTCCTAGTTTTAAAAGTTTTCTTTGTAAGTTATTCTGCATCATAAATTGTCTGGGCTGTTTAACTATGTTTTCTTTTCTTTTTGTTTTAAAGATTTTATATATTTATTTAGCAGAGTGGGGAGAGGAGCCGAGGGAGAGAGGTGAGAGAGAGAATCTGAGGTAGACTTTGTGCTGAGCTCCGAGCGGGACATGAGGCTCCATCTCATGACCCTGAGATCCTGACCTGAGTCGAAATCAAGAATCAGATGCTTAACCTACTGAGCCACCCAGGCACTCCCGAACTGTGTTTCTAGAGATCCTGTTGATAAGGCATCATACTGAGAATCGTATCTCCCATAAACTTCTCAGTTGTTTTGCTAAAAAAAGAAAAAAAACAGCTCTGTTGCTACATACTGTATTTTTACTTCTGACCCATCATGCCCTTAATTTCCAAGGAGGCTCATAAAAGATTATAAATGCATTAGCACAAGACAAATCTACAAATGAAAAACAAAATAAAAGTCTAAGTCTGAGTAGTTTTTAATGGGAGCTAAATCAGCCAATGACTAGGTATCCTGAAATGGTTAATGCACCCTCTATAAATAGCTCCTAGGATGTGCTGGAAGCAATAAATAGATAAGTTTATCAAACATACTATATTCACTCAATTCCAGTAATATCAATTATAGCAAGCTATATTCACTCAATTCCAGTAATATCAATTAATATCACATAATTCAGGAATAACCTCCCAGGCAGTAGCTGTATAGAAAAGAGTTGGTGGAATTGAGAATCAGGGAATAAGGTGGAAAGGAAGGATCTGGAAGTTATTTCAGACAGTGGGTTGAATCTGAATGGACAGATTGACCCAAAAGGATAATGTTGCTCTGGAATGTCTGTTGACCATTACATCCAGTCCCAGGATATTGCCATCCTCATGGCAAAGTTATCCCAAGTGCACTGAATTGTAATTTTTGTCCAGTTTGAGTGTGGAGAGACCCTGTTATATCATATACTGCTTTTGACTGAACACATATTTAGGGTGTCAGCCTGTGGGAGGAGAGGGGGATATGACTTTAATAAGTGTTGCTGAAAAAAAAATCAGTCTAAAGCTCTACCACGTATAGTCAGCTCTTTTTGTCTTCCCACTCCTCACCCCGCTGTCTCTACATGCTCATACACATTCACAGACTAATATTGTCACGTCAGCACCTTGGC